CATTTCTTCCCATCATTCAGGTGTCACGGGAGGTAGCCCAAGGCTGGTGTAAAGAAAAGGATATTCCCTACTTTGAAGTCAGTGCCAAGAATGACATCAATGTGGTACAAGCCTTTGAGACGCTGGCCGGTCAAGCTCTGTCAAGGGTGAGTGGCTGTGGTAGCAACCCCTGCCTGGATTGCCCCCTAGGACAGGAGAACTAAGGAGCTTCCAGAAAAGAACACATTGAGCACAGGTGGGGAGGTGGGTGGGACAGGATTGCTCATCGTCCTAATTAATGAGTTTCTGAATGGGCTCAACTGGACTCCAGCTCTGGAACCAGATGTCAGAGGCATAAAGCTACTTTAGCGTATGCAGACGGTGATCCCCCTACATACTGATTATCAAAATTATTTGTAGAGTTTCTAAAAAATATCATTCTATATCCCATCCCTGGAGATTTTAATTAGTAAGGATTTGAGAAGTGTGATCATGTTCAATCCTCAAAGAAGAAAGAGAATTCTCATGGTGCCAAGTATTTGTCCAAGTGGAGTATCAAGCCTGCAGGAGATGCTGACATCCTCCAATCAAAAACATGCGTAGATGTAGACTCCTCGGTGCAATTGTTCAGCTGCACGTGTTGAGTGTGTCACCTGTGCCAGGAACTGCGCGGAGCTCAGGGGCCCCTCTCTTGGGGAGACCTGAGTGGTTGCGGTGTAGGTATTGTATGGTGGGGAAGGACTTGGTGTTGGGGCCCCAGAGGAGGGGCACACAGCTCACACTGCAGAGGAAGGGAGGAGAGAGGAGAGGAAGAACAGGGAAGGCTGCCTTGAAGCAGTAGCAGAGTTTTAATGCCATTCTGATGTGGAGCCTGGAAACTCAGAAGCAGGCCCATGAGAGATTTGCACAGGGAGGAGCTTGGCTTGTTTTATTATTCTGCCGCATTTAGTTAAGGTGGGCTTCTTGGCAGAGGAGAGATCATCGTGACAATGATTTTGAATTGAGAAAATGAGCAAATGAGGATGAGAAATTGGAGACTTCTCGTATGTAGAAGTGCTTGCCATCATCGTAGGTGATCGGCCTGCCTGGCCTTGCTCTGCCAGCAGCCCTGGAGAGATGCACTCCCGGGCTTATAGTCTGGGAGGTTCATGATGGAGAGAGGCAGCAGCCGCCTTTAGTGGCTGCCTGGGCAGGAGGCTCAAGCTTGCCATCCTTGTACCTTAGCACCTTAATCTCAGAGTTTGGCCCCTTGGGCTGTTCTTATACTTTCCTCCTATTCTCCAGCCCTCACTGTCTCATGATAAAGGGAAGCAGGGGAGTGTCTACCTCTAGTGCACGGTCAAGAACTGTGGCTTTATTATATAGTCTGTTGGCTCCTAAAATACAAATGTGCCTGCTCATGCCATTCCCTTGGAAGGCTGAGGAGTCTTATTTGACCTTGTAGAGTGATATGTGATAAACAGCCCTCCATAAACACGGTACAATGATTGCCAACTGCTCAGTCATGGGGAAGCCATATCAGCCCACAGCCAGTGTCTGTGTGAGGTTAACTTCTGTCCTTTCTAGAAAAAGATTGTCCTTTATTCTTGAAGTTATATCTCTCCTGCTGTGTCACTTTTATAATGTGTGGTCTGTAGAGATGGCAGTTTGTCTGTTTGGTTTTTTTGAACCTCCTACTTGGCAAAAGAATGGCTTGGCAACCCCATGTTTTTCCTCATCTTGATGGGGGAAATTTACTGATGAGAAGTCTAGAAGTCGCCGGGGTGGTATCTGCAGTCGGACTGACCCAGATTTGAATTCTGCCCTGGTGCTTTTAAGTGGACCCCTGGGCAAGACATGTGACTTCTCTGAGCCTTAGTTTCCCCATCTCTAAAATGGAAATAACTCAATCCTATGAACATTTCTTGAGTTGTCAGGCTGAACTGGAAGTACAGTCCTCAGTGGCTCCAAGGTCAGGTAGAGGAGGATAGTCACAAACAGACTGTCATGGAGTGAGGTAGATGCCACAGGGTGAGCGAGGTTGAGGTGTCAAGGGGACTCAGAGCTGGCTGGTGGCGAGAGTAGGCAAGGATACCTCCCCAAAGAAGCAGCATGCGAGTCGGGTTTTGAAAGACAGTTCTTAGTTTGCAGGTGGACATGGTAGGCCGCTGGGGGTGTGAACAGAAGGACGGACAGAGGCCCAGACAGGAATGCACAGGGCTCATGTGAGGAACCAGCCGTGGGTTCTGTCTGTAAGAGGAAGAAGCGTGGCTCGGGGGGAGCAGTGGCGTGGGACCACGGCGGGTAATGGAGCCCACAGGGTCCACAGCACCAGAGCACACAGGCCTAATGACTTCAACCAGAACTTCAGACTTCATTGCTCTTACAAAGCCACAGGTCCATGCCTTCCAGATCACGCTGTGGGGCCCCACAGGACATGCAGGAGCTCGCCCGACCGCGAAGCCCAACAGGGCACGCCGTCCTACAATGTCTGTATTATGCAGAGATTTGGAGGAGAAACGTTTCACATTAAAACAAACACACTTACAAGGGCACAGAATGTAAAACTCATGCAGATGTGGATTTTTAAGGTGAAAGTGGAGTTTGCAAACCTATATTTTAAAGTCAAACAAAAGTTTTCAAAGACATTTCCTACAAGGCCCTCCTTCCCAGAGAGGTCACGTGCTCATTCACACCGGGCTCAAGTGTTTTGAGAGGAAGGCCTTAGAGGCGCTGCTGGAATAAGGAAAGAAGCTCCAGACTTGGGGGGCGGGCGATGGGGGGCCGGGGAGGTGGGCAGCTGGGGCCCTGAAGCTTAATAGACCTGGGTCTAAGTCCCAGCCCTCCCTCACTCACTGTGTCCTTGACAAGTCACACATCCTCCCTAAGCCACCACTTCCCTCCCTTTAAAGTACAATATCTTCCTCCTGGGGTTGTCGTAAGGGCTAAATAAAACAGCATCATAGCACAGAGAAGGCATTGCATAAAAAGTAGCTATTTAAAAGCGGGAACGATGTACAAGGGTTTTCATCAGGGGCGTGTCAGTGGGTGGTCGTGAAGGCACTGCGGCAGTCCAGGCATGAGAGGATGAAGGTGGCGAGCCCAGGGTGGATGAAAGAGACTTTGGAGGGAGGACAATCAGGGGTTGAGGATGGGCCAGTGCAGGAGAGAAGGAATCGGGAAGTGTTTAGGCTGATGACCTAGTTCTACCTTGGCAAACGGAGGGACCGTTGGTTAGGAACGCTGTGGACCACGACGGAGAAGACGGGGGACGCGGGAGCGTCGCGGGGCGGGGCCAACGCGGCCCACGGGAGCACGTGGCATTTGAGGGTCCGCGAGGGTCTCCGAAGTGTCTGAGTTCCGCAGTGAGCTCTGGATGGAAAGAAAGAGTTGAGAGTAGAGCACCGAATAGGTACTCGGGTAACATTTTGAAAGGAAAGAAGATAGTTACTTTAGTGTCCCAGTCTGGCTTTCAAGGACTAAGGTATTTAGTTGCGCCAAAATATGATAAGAATGCCCTCAGAATGAAAGGAGGGACACCCGCCTGCTGCGCGGGATTTGGGATGGCAGCAGATTTTGCTCTCACCCTGTCGGCGGTGCCATCTCTCCTGGGGCTGGTCAGGCCCGGCTCCAGTGGCGTGGGCTGCAGCACGTGGTCCCAGTCCCTTTAGGGCTAATTGGAAAAAGACAAAATCGCTGTGTCCACGAGGGAAGCAGGTAAGCTCAGTGGAATTATAGGACCTTAATGAGGTCCTTAGGATGCAGCATCTAAAGGCAGGGCTGTGGTGGTGACAGACGGCCATAATCACACCCCACTGAAAAGATGTGTGTATTCGGATGCTATGTGTGACTTTACAGTGAGATGTACATGTTTGCCAAGGGGACCAGGGCTTGGAGAACAGAATGACACAGGAAACATGTTGGCCGGCTGGCTACTTGGAAGTTTTACAGGAAATCTAAGGAGCAAGATGATGACATTATCAAGGGAAATGATGTCATCGACGGGAAGTGCTCAGAGCTGCCTTGGACCTGGGAGGCTGTGAATGTTATTGGGTGAACAGAGGTGTCGTGAAGACCTTAGCTTTGCCAACGTGGTAAATGAGGGAGCTTCTCATACCTTGCTGAGGCAGCACCCTGTTTGTTCCTCGAATGAAGTGCAGAGGTGCTCAGGAAGCCCCCAGCTGCTCTGCGCTCTCAGAATCTCCTTCTGCCAAGGCTGGCACGGTGGACAATAGCATGGGTTCTGTTCACGGGGGCTTTGGGGGTCCCAGCCGGGCCTTGTGTGGACGTGAAGGTGGAGCACGCTCAGGGGTGATGAACCAAGAGGCTGGCTTTCATGGTGAGAGAGAAACCAAATAAAGAGAATCCTTTCAAAAACCTGTCTCACTGGGAGAAATGGATCAGTTGGCGTAAAGAGGGACTTAAATAGTAACACTCTGCTCTTCCCCGCCCCATACTGCGAGCTTTAGAAAAGTCAGGATTTCTAACTATAAGTAGCTCAGTGGAGTAAGGGGGCCCTGCACACAGCAGAGGGGGCCAGGTGACAAACCGGACAATGCTCAGGGCTGTGTAGGCCAGAGCCTGCACCGCAGGCTCGGGCAGTGTTAGTGGTAAGGAGACATTCAAGGCCATTTTTCCTTCTTAGGCACCTCGAGGTGGGACTCCAATGTGAGGGTGAGAGCTGGGGGATCATGGGGCACCCAGGCCAGGTCTCTAGGCAATGGGCTAAGATTCTTCCCACGAGACGGAAGATCTGGGTATGGAGACATCCCTGAGGGACAGGCTTTCGTTTGGAGACACAGAGAGACTCCCTCTCACCCCAAAACTCATCTTGCCATTAAAAAAATAAGGGCGGCTGGTGCTCTGTTGGTCCCAACACCCTATCAAGGAAGGGGTGAGGAATGGGGGTCTCCAAGAAATGAAATATGTAAAGAAGGGCTGGATCCCAGACTAAATTACTGCTCAGTCTGGGGGTGGCAGTGAGTGACAAGGCATCAGGAGGACTTCTCATGTGTCTTGGGGGTCATTATGGTGCAGCAGGCAGGCCTGACACAACTTCCTTAAGTCCAAGGTCATGGGCATTAAGGGTTTAGTTGACATTCACCAGCTGGGGACCCAGCCAGAGCCCAGGAGCCATGGAGGAGAAAAACTCAGAGTGAAAAAGGAAAGCACAACCGCTGTCCCCTCAGAGGGGGCACTGGAGAAAAACCACACAGGAGGTTCTGCTCAGTGGGGAGAGAACAAAAAGCACAAGCACCATCAGCCTAAGAGACATAGGGCAGACCGTGCCCTTTGCCTCCCAGATGAGAGCGCTGACTTCTCTTTTCCTTCCCCAGTATCGAAGCATCTTAGAGAATTACCTCACAGACTCCATCAAGCTCTCACCGGGAGACCAACCCAGGAGTAGATGCTGCTGATCTTCAGACTCTCACTTTGGACACCCAGAGACATAGTGTGCCCTGGGCCTGGTCATCCCAGGCCCTCGCCAGCCCCAGTGCTGGCCCAGGCCCAGCCCAAGCAGCCTGGGCTCTACGGCAGAGCGCTTGATCCCCTCACGTCTGTGCTAGGCACAGAGTTAGAGGGTAGCCCCTGCCTCGGGCTGAGTGTAATAAGGACAGGGCTGAGCCCTCAGGGGTCCGGATGAAACTCAGAACGTCACAGTTCAATCCAGGCCTGGAAGAGACATTGTTCCCTCTCTGGCTCCAGCTTTCCCGCCATTCACTCTCCCTGAACCCACTCCTACTTCAGAAGGCTCATCTCTGCAGAGAGACAGGCCACTATCTCTGGAGTCCTGTGGACCGGCCTTCCTGGCCCATGCCACCACGCACCCACAAAGTCACAGCACAGCTCTGGACAAGGGTACTGCTCAACCTCCCTGAGTAATCCGGACCCGAGAGTGAGGGCCTGAACCTCACATGAGGGCCTGCCTCACCCCGTGGCACAGCTGTCCAGTCCTGTCCCCTCCAGAGTATAAGACTGAGGAGGTCCAGGAAAAGCCACCAGGGGTGGCTCATTCCTCCTTGCTTGGTGCTCAGGCATCACCCATAAACCTCTGTCAAATGAGGGTGGTGTGTGCCCTGCCCACATCAGAGTGTGGTTTTTGAGGACCAGAAGCTCTGCTGAAACCTCAGTTGCTCTTGCTGATATGCATTTATTTATGCCTTCAACAAGTATTTTTCAGTATCTATTACATATGATGCACTGAGGTCCAGTGGCAAACAAAACGGACAAAGACTCTACTCTCCTGGCCCCTACATTCCGGTGAGGGAGAGTCAACAGACAAAATTTACAGATATTTTCAAATAGCAAGCATGTGATTGAACAAAATGGAACAAGGTGATGGGATAGAGAGGGATAGGGGCTGGGGCTGGGTACTGTTCCAGACAAAGTGGTCCAGAAGGGCTGCCCTGAGGAAGTCCCATTTGGCCGGAGGGCTAGAGAATGAGAAAGGGGCTGCCACCTGGAATCTGGAAGAAGAGCATTCCAGGGAAAGACAGCAGCAAGGGCCGAGGCCCCAAGGGAAGGACAAAATTGCTGTGTTCTAGCAACAGTGAAAAGACATTCATTTACCTGAGGACTCAAAGCTTTCGTCCCAGAGACAGCAAAGGGGACCCTGCCTCTGGACGGCCCCTTGATCCTCTGCCAAATGGCCACCAGAGGGCAGCAGTTCTCTTCCCTTTTTGGCTGAGCGGAACGTGTTCGCTCCAAGGACACTTGAAGAGCGGCTGATGCTCTAAGCTTGTTCACAGCCTCTGGGCACGATCAGTGCTTCGAGTGAGGCAAGAGAATCTCAATTTCTTAAGTTTAGTAAGAAATGGGCAAAAATTGCAACATCAGTGATTCAGACAAGAAATCTACATCGATGACAAATACCAGAATGAGGGGCCTGGAGAGCCCATGGATTCTCTGTCCCTGCAGACTCTAAGGCCGTAATCTTTTCCTTCTGGCTTCAGACACCATAGATAGTGCACGGCCTGAAGGGGGCGCACAAGATGACCTCTCAGGGCCTCTATGGCCACACAAGTCTCCTGTCTACTTACATAGTACCTTCCTGAGCTCAGAGCTGGGGGCGTTAGTCCAAGACTTCTGAGCATCAGCTGACTCTGAGATAGCCCCGAGGAAGGGGGGAAGTGGGGGAGGAGGGACAGGGAGGGAGTTTGGGGGCTTCTTCTCCCCACCTGTGGACTAAGAACTGGCCTGTCCTGAGCAGCAACATGGACCTGGCACGGGAGCAGGTGGCCCAGAGCGCAGCTCCGTGCATCATTGTGCACATGGCCCGAGCTCTCCTGGGAGTCAGTTGGACTGAGGGTTGGACGTTTGGGGTGCGGGTGTGTATGCAGCAGCTCATGCACCACAATGGACATGTGGACCATTTCTAAATGTGAGCAACAAATAATAAATGTGTCCTTTGTTTTTATCCCTTGCAGAATTTTAGTTATTAAATTTTTTAAAAATCTGCAGAGTTCAAAATTTAAAAGAAACCAAAGGAGAGACAACAAAAACTCAATTAGGACCAGTTATATAACAGGTAGGTCCCAATGTAAAATAAAAATGCCCAGCCTCTTATTCAAAAATTATGAAGAATTTCAAGACAGCAATGATGGGTCATCAAACAAGTCCAAGGGCATTCTGAGTGCAAGCTACACACCGCAAAGCTGTCCCTGAGTGAGCAACTATGTTTTTGGTGCCTCCAGAATGATAGAGCCCCTGGCCAGGCCCACCTGGGCTGCAGACACATTGCAGCTTGGAGATCAAAAAAATTCTGCCGTTGCAAGAATCACGTGGTGATTCAACCCCCAGCCCAAACCACAGACAGAATGTTCCACATGCAGGTGGAAGTAGAGGTCTAAGGGCCCACGGCACCCCTCCTCTCGTGACAAGGGGACACACCAACCAATCCCCAGGGCAAAGGGAGCTGAGCTGACAAACTGCAGACTGCTCCCACTCCCCATACCCACCCTTAGTCTATGACTGGCCCTTGGGACCCACCCAGTAGGGACAGGTATTGGCAGAGGGGGACAGCATGGGAGGACACCTGCTGAGGGGAGCCCTCAGGAGCCTAAGCAGGGGTGGGACAGCAGTTCCTGGGGCCCCTTCATTGCCATCCCTTCAGAGAGGAGGACCCCAATTAACCAGACCGCTCTGACCCAGGCCGCTCTCATACCCACTGGAGCCCTGAGGGAGCTGCCTGAGGTCACATCCAGACGGGTAATGAAAGGAAGAGAGAGGATCCAGGCTAAGGTTGGTGGCACACGCCCTTGGGACTTGAGAAAACAAAACAAAACTAAATCTTATCACCAAATAAGCCTGAGGTGGACCTGGCTGGGTACCACATGCCCAAGTTGATTTGGGGAAATGCTGACTTTTTCTGTTCTTTGTTCCCTCACTGCCCTATCCCCAGTCACGAGGAACTCCTGGATGAATCAGGCAAGTGACAGGCACCCACAACGCTGTCTTATTCCCAGGAGTGCACAGTCCAGGGGCAGCCACAGAATAGCCATACCAGCAGTGACACCCACAACCTGCCAAGCCACACACAGCAGGCCCAGCTGTGACAGTGGACCAACATGAGGACACGTCTACAGCATGCACACCTGGAGGCTCCCTCTAGGACAGGTGATTTAGGAGCTGGGGGAGGAAGAGAACCAAGCTAGGTGGGAAGTTTAGTTTAATTAGCAGACGATGACCTGTACCAGGACTCTATGTGCGTGTGTGTGTGTACTTTGGTGTGTGTGTGTCTGTGAGGTTTAGAGTGCAGTTTGCTTGTATACGTGGTATGAGTGTGTGTATGCGTGGTGCCATATATGTATATGTGTCTGTGTGTGTGGCGTGTGTTTGGTGTGTGTATATGGGGCGAGTGTGTCTGTAATGTGTGTGTGTATGTGTATGATGTGTTTGTGTGTGGAGTGTATATATAATGTGCTCGTGTGTGTGTGGTGGAAAGGGGAGTAGGGACGTAGAAGGTCAGATGGCGGATTTTTCTTATTGAAGTACTGGAAAATGATAAATAAGCTCATAAGGTTGGAGAACAAAAAAGTAGGTGACAGGGTGCTGAGTGCTGGGGGAGGGTTGGGACAGTAACGCTACCGAGAGCCGTCCTTGCATCAGCGAATCTCCAGGACAGTCCACGAGGAGGGCAAAGATTCACTTTTCATATTTGAAGACTGAGGCTTCCTCTCCCTCCCCCTCGCATCTCACGGGGTCCTGTCCACACCACCTCACCATCTTCTAGAATCCAGCCCCTTCTCCCCTCACCCCCCGCTCCACCCGGTCCGGGTGACCAGCACGCCTTCCTAGACTGCGCTTTGCCTCCCCACAGACCTCCTGTCCTTTCCTAGCCACTCCGCATGGCAACCGTCCTCGTGATGTCCATGAGGACGAAATCCTTCTCGTGGTCCACAGGCCCTCCACCGTCGGCCACCACCTGCTCTGGCTACGAGCTCTCCCAGTGTCCAAATAAGTGAACTTCTCTCAGCCCCCCAGATGCTGGATGCCTCTCATCTCCCTGCCCTGCCCAGCAAGCGGGACCTCTGTGAAAACACTGGCCCCTCTCTGGCCCTTCGCCTGGCTAATCCCACCTTAGCTATTAGTTATCAGCTACAATATTGTTTCCCCCAATAAGGCTTTCCTGACCCCCAGACCAGGTTTAGGGCCCCCCGTTATCTCAGTGCCAGAATATGAGCTCTACTAGGATGGAAGTGCCATGGGACAGAGATTTGCAACAGTTTTATTCACTCCGTCTCCCCTGTGCCTAGAGCAATGCCTGACTAGTGGTTGGTACTCAATACATATTTCTGGAAGGAATAGCACTTGAAATACTTTCTCATCATCGTTTGTTTGTTTGCCCTTAGACTATAGTCTCCTAGAAGGCAATGTCTGTTTTGATTTATAATTTTAACCCAGCAATCAGCATAGATATTGGTACATAGAAGACATATAAATATTCTGAAATACAACAGAACATAACTATTTTTTTAGAAAAAGGATGATAAAATGTTCTGTGTAACAGCATGGACTAGATATCTGAGAGGCATTTTTATGTGAAAAAGCAATGGAATGACCCTGTGTATAATATGCTGTCTTTTCTGTAATAGGAGGCTTAAATAAAACTTTACATTCATTGCTGCTTGTACATAAAGAAAACTCTAGAAGGATGCGTAAGAAATTAATAAAAGTGGTTACTCTTCAGAGTAGAGACTGGGCGTATGGGTGTCAGGAGTGGGAGCAAGACTTTTCCTTATACGATTTTACACTTTGAATTTTAAACTCTTGGAATGTATTACAAAATCAAAAATTTAAGAAGGAGCATGAATATTGGTGGGAGAAAGAGAAGGCAGAAGAATTAGCAGGAAGAGAGGCGAAATTCTAACCAGGACCTAGCTGCCTCCAGTCAGTTACACCCCATGGATGCTGGACTCTGTTGCAAGAGGACACGCACCTACGAAATCCCCCATGTCCACATGCTCTGGCCAAGACGTCAAGTCTCCCAGGTGGGGCAAGATCTCCTCAAGTTTCCTTTGTTCTCCTATGTCCTAGAGGAGGACCCTGTGACCTGAGATGTCAGTCAATAACTGAGTAAGTATTTCCAACCTCAGCTCTGGAGATAAAATATCAAGTGTGTGCACTGCTCTGTGAATTACTACGTGAAATGACCGAGATGTCCTTCTGCAAGAAACTGGACAAATAAAATGTGGTACATTCAAACAATGGAATTTCTCAGCAGTAGAAATAAATAAACTAAGGTCAAATACATCGCTGGATGAATCTCAGAAGCGTATGGAAGGTAGCAAGCCACAGAAGACATACTGTATACAATTTATGTAAAGTCCTAAAGCAAGAAAATTAAGCAGTTTACTTTCACACATATTCATCACAAATGCAGGTGGTAAAACAACATCAAACAACAAAAAACATGCAAGCAAAAGAAAGGGAACACAAAAATTTAAATAGTGGTTTCCCGGCATGAGAGCATGAGAGCGGACTGGCTTGGGAGGAATGCAATAGGGACCAGACACCCACGTGACAAGATGACACTGGGAATGTCCTCTTCCTCCAGCTGAGTTGACGTTTGTTTTATTATTACACTTTGTATTTATGTTACACATATTCTTTTTATGACTCAGATACTCAAATTTTAAAATTTCAAAACCACAGCTAGAGCTTTGGAGTCAGGCCTGCCTGAGTTTGAATCCTGACTTTCTTTTCTATAGCTGTGTGACTTTGGGCATGTCACCTGATCATACAGAACTTCTACTGTCTCACCTGTACAGTGGGATAACAATGCTTACCTCGAAGACTTCTAGTTATGTATGTGCCGTGCCTAGCTTGTAGTAGGTGCTCAATAAATGGTGGTTAGTATTGGGTCAGGAACAGCTGCAGTGGTGTTTCTTTTAAATCTATTTGAGAAAAGATGTAGGACTGGGATTCCGTTGTAGGCTGAGGGCGCAATAAATGAGAACTAAATGAACAAACGAAAGGACGCATACATTCTTTTCCTATCTCCACACCTCCTCCCCTGAGTGACCTCTGGGACTCAAATCGTCTCTGGTTAACATTGTGGTCACTCAGAGCAAAATTTGAAATGCAATTCTCACACCTACCCAAAGCGCCTGGAAGCAGGCGGCTGGCAAGCTTATTCCCAGGAAGATTCTGCCTCCACTCCCCAGACTGGACGAAAGATCCCTGCGGAGGAACGTACCATGTCCTCCCTGCCCCCACAGCACCTGGCACAGCTCCAGGCCCACAGCAGGTGCTCGTGAAGACAGCTGCTCTTTGAGAGCAGAGGCCTTTGGTTGGCAGGGAGCTCCCTGGACATTTGCAGCCTCGGACCCATGGCTCTTGAATCTACAGGAGTTTCCCTTGACTTTAAAGGCTCAGTAACATTTGTCTCATATACAATGGCAGTACATGATTAGAGGAAATTAAGTGGCTCTCCAAATCCTGAAAATAAGACAGACTGATATTTATAGGCCTTCAGAGAATCTCTGCCAAGTCTCTGAGTGTGCGTGTGTGTGCGTGTGTGTGCGTGTGCGTGTGCGTGCGTGCGTGTGTGTGTGTGTGTGTGTGTGTGTGTGTTTCAGGCTAGATCTGGGGGAGGGAATTACCTGTGGAATCCAGAACAGAATCATATATTTGAAGTCAAATCATTTTAATGAAGCCTTGTGTGATCTTGAGCCCGTATCATTTCTAGCCTCGGTTTTCTCCTCTGTAAAATGGGGACAATAATTATTTCTTGCTTACTCCATGACCGGTATAGAGAAAGAATACTGGATTTGGAGTGAAGATATCTTGGTTGCTTAGTTGTTTTTAAGTTTCCAAATATGTACCCAGGCTTATTATGTACCAAGCACCTTTCTGATAAATGTTATAAATGTCAACTCATTTAGTCTTCACAATGATCTGAAAACCTAGGTGTGA